AAATATATAAAAAATATACCAACCAATATTATAAACAATTATTCCCCATGAGCATTCATGCAGCACACCATCCTGTTGCACTATTAGCTTTAATGCAGTACACCATGTCGTATGAGTAACAATGTTGTACAAATCACTTCTAAGAATGCTCAGTGTGTTTGATTGAATTTATTTGAAGTTTGTATAAATTCAATCAAAAAATATTTTTTATATAAAAAGCTGTTTAAACCTTTATTGCAGATTATTAGAAAAACATTTAATGAATTTTCTAAAGTTGCTAGATCTGCTTGTAATATTAAACTAACCCGCCGTGTGAAGCTCATTTGTCTTTCAAGTTGTTGCTTATAGCTTTTCGCACAAATACCATGTCAACCCTTATCGAAGAAATTTGCTCCTCCTTTCTACCCGTTGACAAAATAATCCATAAAATCAAGAACAATCATTTCGTATTGACAGAGACAAATCAGTTTAAATGAATCATGGCAACCTGATAAACTCTTTCAATATCTATGAAATTTGATCGGCTTATATAAAGTGGGTGGGCTGTTTACTTCTTACACATACACAAGTAGATGTGCACATAATTGTGTGTGTGACTCTATAACAAACAATGACAAATAGTTTATTGCAGCAAATTCTGAACACAGCACCAAACTAGGAGCATGACGTCTGCACAGACTACACCACCTTATCTGTAAAATAGCTAGTTTATCTAAACAACAAAAAATTACTAGAAGGAGCAGAAATACAGTAGACACTAGCTGGATTATGAAAAGCGGCTCTGTGAGTGCACAAATTGAAGCAAAAGAAGTAAATTTAATAACCAATTTTCCAAACAACAGATGTTGTATTGTTAGATAAACTAATGGAGTGTCAAGTCACAGGCAATGGCGTTCGAGAACACAAAAACAACAACATTGTAATGTAATGTAAACAAAAGCCAAGATAATAACGAGTATAAGCTTAGAAGCGTAAAAATTTCTCAAAGAATGTTGGAGAACGGCTTCATAATCTCAATAATACAATAGTAACCAAACGCGCGAACATGTATGTTCATTATTACAGCCCTTTATAGGTATAATATAACCCTTAGCAATGCCTCTTGTTCAATAACTTGCTGTGTTGTTCATTTCCGTTGCACTCACCATGGCAATTACAAGCCAGCAATTAAGTATCCTTAAAATCTAAATACTGATTTACGCTTCCAGCAAAAGAGAAAATAAAACAAATGCTGACTTAAAGTACACATGACATATAAAGGACACCGGGTTGACAGTAAATCGAAAATATTTGCATTCAATCGCTGTTTGATAAGGGTAGTGAAGGTACCCGGATGCTTTTTACCGGTTGTCATATCCCGTTATTTCTTTGTTGATTTTGCCACTTAAGTAGAAGGAGAGCAAGTGCCTTTTGCTTAATAATTTCTTTATTCAACAGTTTGAGGTTTGACGTAGAGCATTCATTTCTCGTGCTTGTTTCGCTTACTCTTTTGTTTTAGTGAAGGGGAAAGGCGCGGAAATAAATAATTAACATTTGACAATGCCAAATATTTGCCTTGTTGTATAATTTTATTAGCGTTTTCACGAAATAAAAACCTTGTTGGTCATTCTGCAGAGCTTCTAAATTTATGATATTGGTTTGTGTCTCGGTTCAGCGAAAAGTCTGACAATTAAGAAGTAAAAAAAAACAAAAAAAAAAAAGGAAAAATGGACACAAATCTTTCTATTATTTAGAAAAGGAGCACTGGTAGCTTTTTAGCCACGAACAAAGGTCATACTGTGCACCAAACAACACAAATTTGTATACCTCGTCAGTCGGTCAGAAATATAGCACTTTATTCTCCGGCATGTGGATGTGTTGACCGAATATCAATGCCGAAATTGGTTTGCGAAATTTCGTTGCAACATCTCCAAGGCATCTTAAAGCCAATGTGGTTGAAGGTTCAGTAGGGTAATCTTAAAAAAAATTTTTTTTTTGCATTTTATCTTCCCTTAGAATTAATGTAGAAACCACATTAAACATGGAGGAAAATAAAAAAAGGTTAATTACTTTTTTATTTACCAACATTTTCTCATGATTCAAGTAGGTACAATACTTCACGTGCTTTTTAAGAATAAATTGTGTTTATGTGTTTCAAATGATCCAAACATGAGAAATCGTGTCCGCCAGTGAAAAAACGCATCTCATTCACTCAGCCGTTTCTCCGACAGATGTCATCAAAAAATATCGCAAATATTTGTTTGTATACTCCACGATATACCTCATGATATGTGAAAAAAGTTCTAATGTAGAATAAAAATTTCCATGAAAAAAAAAAAAGTTCAAAAAACAGGCCAGATTATCCTACTGACTCCCTAAACTAATGTGCATCGACCAACGCAAATCGGCGAATAACAAATCGGAAAATTGCTGAAAAATTAAATCCCCAATGTTCACAAGCACACAAAAAGTCTACGATTAATATCGAAGCTTGAAAATATCCATTCACAAGCCAATGAAGTGATTCATTTTTAAAGCGAATTGTCGTTGGCGAGGAAAAATGGAATGTCTACAAGAATGTAAAATGCAAGAGATCATATATGTTGTCTGTTTGTAGGGACTTCAATGAGATCATTTGTTTTTTTTTATAAAATATTTTACACAATAAAAAATTCATTATTAAATTACACTAAAAAAAAGCGAAATTGTTTAAAGAACGGCGCTATATTTTCACTCTCCTCCCACTACTGTGCTTTGAGTCAGTAATTTCGAGGCGTAACTATTTTCCTAGATTTGTTTGTTGTTGCGGGGCTTTTATTGTGTTCAAAGGTAAGTTAAACCTTTTTGTTGCACGTATGCGTTTCACCATATTCCCAAAGCGCACTAAAAGCAATGTGGCATCGCTGGCGCTAAGCTAACTGTTAACAGTTACGTGCGAGTATAGCAGCAATGATATTTTGATATTTTGAGCGCCATAAAAATCATAATATGCACGAGTGGTAATACAACACGTACATGCCACAAACTTAATCTACAAGTGCTTTAACAATGCCAGCACAATGGCGTACAAATAGTATGTACCTATTGCGGTGATGTGGCATTTTTACGACACGCCGCGCGGTAGAAGATCACAAGCCACCACATCGTCTCGGATTGAAAAAGTTACTCTTTTAGCTTTGTTGCTGGGAGTGGAGCTTAAAATACGCTCGTTCGGTTGAATTAAGCTGGGTTCGTCAGTTATGAGTATGTGTGCGTATGTACGTATATGATGTATGTGTGTGACCTTACCTGAACTGCTCGGCGAGCATGTATAATTCCCAGAATCGGCTGGCGTTGCCTTGGCTATCAATAATTTACTGGTACGCGTCGAACGCTCCGTTATGACATTGATGCCGCCACGTTGTGAATAATTCATAACGCGTTTACCCTTATACCAATATATAAAGGATGGCGGTATGGGCGATTGCATGGCGAGACAGGTGAGATTTATGTCACTGCCGCTTTTGATGAAAAGTTCCGCATTGCCAAGAATTTTTGCACGAGACACTGTAAGAAAACAAAACGGCGAAAGTAGCGTCAGAAAATTAAAAGTAAACACATACAGTTATGCACACACATAAGTATAAATAAGTGTTAAAAAAGCAGCCACGAAACACTCAGCAAACGAAAACAAAACAAAAAAACTTTTCGCCATTCTAATTAAACGAATGGTTCAAGGATGTTCTTTTACTATATTTTCCTTGCCTATCGTGTTCTAAATTAAGCGCTAGCTACACTAAAACTAGTTTGCAACGAAAAGTTTTGTTTAAGTCTAAAATCAAGTTTATACAGGGTTTTCCAATTAAAGTACTATGATGAACCACATTTTCGAATAATTTTTCTACTAAATCAAGAGTATCAATACTCACTTCTAAACCTTGAAAATTTTATGTTTTATTGCTAATGCCAAATGGCTTCGAAATCTTCAACAGAAGTAGTCCAATGGGGTTGAATCACAACTTCTTGGAGGCGATTCATTGTCACAGTTTTTTGAAATAATTGAATCTCCAAGTTTTCGCGCAATTATACGATCAGGGCATATTCAAAATGACCGAAACGGCCCATAAAAATAATAACCCGGTATTTAGATACTTGCGGAACGAAGTACATAACATAGAAAGCAAAGAAATTTAGGCCAAAAGCTAATTTTACCATTCTTTAAAATTTAATAATTTTTCCTTTTTAATTTACTAACGCAAGTTAATAGATGCAGAAGCGACAACAATTTAAACTATTTAATGCATTCATACATACAGTGAAGTTACTCCTTAGAAACACAACCAACAAGGAAGTAATAAAAATATTCACGTGCCAGTTAAACGTTAAATTTTATATCTAATCATTACTCACCCACTACGTTCAGTCGAAAGCCTTGACTTATCTTTGGCTCTGTGGACACTTGACACTCATATGTGCCAGAATCTCTTGGCTGCGGCGACGATATCCTCAGTGTCCACTCATCGGAGCCCTCGGTGTGCAGCGACTGGAATCGTTGGTCATTCGTGTATGTGAGTATGCCGACGGTGAGTATATGCAGGTCACGTTTACGTATCCAGGACACCTGCAAAGAGACAACCAAATGCTGCTTAGTAGCATTCCAGCAATTCAGCGTTCAAGTAAAATACACATTCAAGTGATTGATGGAAGATATGTGATTGCTAAGCACTCCATTCTCCAGCACTTAAATCAGTGCTATTAATTAGCGAGCTTGAAAATACATTCAGATACTTAACAACTGCACTCTTATGGCATTTGTATTTTTACGCGCACTTTGTAACAAAAAGTGAATAAATATATCCTTTAATGTAATGAAATGTTTTAAGAGTATATTTGTTCAACTAAAGTTCTAGTTGTCTGACAGATTTTTTGGATAAAAATTTAAATTGGAAATATATAACAATAAAATTAATTATAATGTTATAATAAATATATTTACCGTATACTTGGGACCCAAAATTTTGGAAACATTGTGTTTGAAACTATGCTTTCGGACCACCCAAAAATTTTTTTGTTTTCGTGGAGAAGCCAAAGTCATTAAAAAATTCGATTTTCTTATTGTCTTAAATTTTCAGGTTGATATGAGTAATAATTTCGGAGATACAGCCTTGAGAACTTGTGCGCTCGAGGCTAGTTAAACATAGCGCACCGATTTTAAACGAGTGTTTCTCGAAACTGTGCTTTTGAAGTTGGTCGTCAAGATTTTTCGAAAACTACTCAACCGTTCTTAATGAAATAGCAAACAAGTCTTTGAGAAACAATTTTTAAGAATTTGAATGAAGGAGTTTTAGTTTTTTCAATTAGAAATATTTAAAAAAACTGTCGAAGAATTTTTACTGAAATTTTAATTTTAGTGTAAAAAAGTCTTTCAAAAATCCAGTTTTCAGATTTTTTCCTTCTTCCAAGTTCTAAGTTAAGTGTTAACTAAAACACGTCTTTTTTTTCTTAAGATGAACCTGAAAGGAGTACCGAAAATGGCGTCGCAATGGCCCAGTTTAAATTTGTTTTACAAAAATTTCCGAATATCCTTGTTAGTATTGTATGTTTGTAATAAAAAAAAAAAAAAAAAAAAATCTAAGAAAATATTTCGTTTTTTTATGAGAAAAATTGTTGAACAAATGTTGTTTTTTGCTCTAGTTTGTAAATTTTTTACTGCATATTCATTTATTTCTGGCAATTAAATAATAGTGTGAGCAATAACGCTTAATACTTTGTCTGCTGGTATACAAATGTGTAAGGATCATTCGATTTAAAATTTAAATTAGAAGCTTGTTTTGGGCAAGTTTTTGTTTGCGCTTTTTTGGGCAACATATTGGACACGTATTTTTTTTTACTTCGACTCAATATGAAAAGCTTTGTAATTTATATCTTCAAAATGTCAGCTTATGAAAAAAGTAAGTTTAAACTCTTGCATATACGAGCAAAATAATTTCATTATAAAAAACCCAGCTCACGTATTTTTTACGATTTTTTTTAGCTTTTCTTGCATTTTTGGATTTTTGTATACAAAAGTTTTTTTTTTATTTTTTTTTTTGTATTTTTGAACTATTTTCACTTAATTTTTTAATGAAATATGTATATTACAGTTGCTCAACAGGATTCCTGTTATTAAGTATACTAGCGCAGACTGTTGTTTAATAGCGAAACGCATGTGTTGACATAAAAATTATTTCTGATATGAAATTTTGTAATTAAAAAATTAAAAAAAAAATGAATAACTGCGCTTAAGATATTACCTGTATCATAGACATCTTGAGCGCAGTTGTTAAATTTTTTTTCAATTTTTCGATTTCATATCAGAAATAATTTAAAAATTTTTTAAATAACCTTCGGCAAAAGTTTCAATTACTATTTTACAGACCCACGTTTAGCTGATAGATTGGTGCTGGTTTTAAGAAAAAAAAAAAACAAGCTATATTTTAACGCTTGTGAAAGCTTAAATATTTGAGCACATGCTGCCAAGCTCGATCCCTTAATTGCTTGGCAGCTCACGTTCAAAATGTCATTATCTATTAATGCCTATAACGAACAATCTAGTGGCCTATGCTACTCAAGCCAGCCCTACACATGCGTCTATATATGTGCCTAATTTCATCCCAGCAGTAAAGTGTGCAGAAAACAAATACGAACCTGACGCAGTTGGAATTTGATACAAAATGTAATCAGCCGAAAGCGGGCGAATGTGTGCGTGCACTACATTTCAGAATCGATCGTCAACAACATTACATTAAATTAAAGTGACATCTATGCACTGTTGAGTAATTTTTGGAAGCCTTCAGTGATTAATCACTCAATACAATTCTCTACTGGGTATATAAGTCGTGGCTGCTCGGTGTATACTGAAGCGTGCTCGTTGGTGTGTGCGCCTGTGTGTACGAGCGCTTGTTTAGTGGCTGACCCTTCACATGCCATGAATATTTTAAGCCTTCAATGCGCTTATGTAAATTTTATGGGCCGATAGTGTAACACTTCAATAACGCTATCGTTTTTTTTTTTTAATGTTTTTCTCCTTTTATATTTATTTTCATCTCGCTTCCTCTAGGATATTCCTGCATCAGTCTGATGCCTTGTTTACTTTTTTTTCTTTATTTTCCAGCTGCCTCTATTGCTTTTAATGGCGAATTGGTTGTCATAAAATATTACCTAAAGGATAAAAGGTGCAACCTTTCCAGCAGCGCACAAGACACTTACACAGGCACAAATCTTTTGTATGTGGACCACAACTTGGTAACTAAAAATTATGTGCAAGCTTCCATCTTTTTCGCTACGAATCTGAGTTTAAAACTTATTACTTATTTTTTCATTGCGAGCATTTTTTATGGCTTTAGTGCTCGGTAATAACTTAACCCCCATTCTCGCGTGGTAACCTCCATTGTTGTTGGGCTTTGTGCCGGCGAAATTATGCGGCGCTGGCAGCAAATTGAGCATCTGAACACATGCGCTTAAGTCTACGCGATAATATTATAGGTGTCTCAGCGCACGCGTGTGTGTGTGTGTGGATTTCAGCTCATATACACACTAATGACGGGGTAAGACACCTCACCGTTAAGTGAGTTAAGTAAAGTTTCCTTTCAAAAGGTATCTCATACTAGAACTGTTTGGCAATAAGAATTTCTGCTTGATTTGCATAAATTGATGTGCCATTAATAAGGCATTTTATGAGTTTGCAATTCCAAAGAGATAAAAATAAACTGCCAGCACTAAAGAAAGTTTATTTCCCTTCCACAGTATCGAAAGTGCTTCGATTATGACTTGGACCTTTTCAGGCACTGCACAAAATTGACTAGACTTTTTACTAGTTAAAGCTATTAGGACAAGCTAATAATTAGATACTTGCACGAAGCGTAAAGCGTGAATTGCAAAATTGTTTAAAACTTTGTTTTTAATAAAACGTGTGAAAATAAATTAAAAATTTATATATGTAATAATATATAATGAAAACGAGAAATAATGTTTTTTCTTCTTCATCTTGCTTCATTTGCTCAGAAGCTAAGTATACTACCCTTGACAGATAAAGAAGATTTTCATAAAAGAACTTGAATTTGATGGGTCAGTTGGTATGGCATCTATGTATGTATATGCTGTAGTGATTCAAGCTGAACAACTTCTAAGAAAAATTCTTTATTGTCTTTCAGAACATGCTATTAAAATTTCGTGAAGATATCTCTTCAAAAATAATGTTTTCTATAAATTCTATAATATAAAAAACTTCAGATTGATATCTCAAAAATATGCGAACGGACAGACAGGCGGATATGGCTAAATTAGCACAGCTGAGCATTTATTTGTTTTATAGAGCTGTCAACGTTTCCTTCTGACGTTACAAACTTCGTGCCAAACTTCATATAAACTGGTCAGAGCCTAACAAGAGATTCTGAAAGAGTCGTAATCGAGTTTTTTTTTGAACACGCAAGTTTTTTCACAAAATAAAATTTTTTCCAAAGTCGTGATTTTGTAAAAAATCAATATTTATTCTAGTGTTTCGATCACTGAAAGTACTCATCTATAATAATAATAATTATAAGAATAATAAAACTAATAATAATAATAATAACAATATGTCATATAATATGGGGTATTCGAAAAATTCTTTTCGTATTTTAAGCTTAATTTAACCGAAAAAAAATTAAATTCGGAGAAGTTGCAAGAAAGTTACAGCTCTTCAAAAATGAGTGATTTTGAGATTTTTGTACAAAACAGGGAAGAATGCCATGCAGCCAACAAATAAATTTGTGAAGTTTACGGAGATGAGTGTAGTTCGCGTAGCACAATAAGGGGGTGTTCTAGTCTAGAATTTTGAAAAAATCGATTTTTTTTGCGTATTCTTAAAGACTGGACCTTTAGGAATATATTACCCAAAGGAATTTTTAAAATTCCTATTATTTACCGATTTATAGCTATTTAAGTGACGCAGCGTGCAAATCGGCTCTGCAGGAATGGCCGATTAACGAAATGTAAGTATAGACTGCCTGCAGTTAGACTCAAATTTTTAATCGCGCTTTTCTCGAAACTACTATTTTCAACACTTCTGACATGATTTCTCAAGTTCTAATGAACCGATTGACTTGAAATTAGGTGTGGACCTTCTTTATATATCTCTCTATGGTTGGAACTAGGACTTTAAAAAAATTTGATTTTTACTATTTTTAAAAAATGTAGATCTTTGCCAAAACACGGGCAAAATTCAAACAGTCGCCATTTACTGAAATTATTTTTTTATCCTAGTTCAGACGATACCGGCATTTGTACTGATTAAAAAATTATTATTTTTTTTTTTCAGATCACCCAAAGTGTTGGAATCGTGTCAGGAAGAGCGCACCATTATTTTCAACCCCTGCCACGCCACCACGCCGCAATTAATCAAATTATTACAAAAAAATTATTATTTTTTTTTTGTTTGTATTCCTAAAATATCAGTAAATATCTTGTAAAAAATTGGATAGTAAAAATGTTCTTAGTTTTTTTTATTGGACTTTAAAAAATGCCGTTAAATAGCATTTCTACACTAGAATACCGTTCGCTCGCTTCCAATCTGGAAATTTCGATGTGAAAGATGCACCTTGCTCTGGTCGATCTATCGCTGAAAAAGTCGATGAAATTATGGAAAAAATTGACCAGGACTGTCACATAAGTAGCCATGACATCACTAAGAAACTTAACATTCATCGCCAGACGATTCTGAACCACTCAAAAAAGGCTGCCTACAAGAATAAAGCTCGATGATTAGGCATCACATGAATATTCTGTGAAAAATTTAATGGACTGAATTAACATCTACGATTCTTTGCTGTAACGAAATGAAATCGAGAAATTTCTAAAACGAATGATAACAAATGACGAAAAGCGGATCAAATATGCCAATAATCTGCAAAAAAGATCATGGTCCACGTGTGGTGAAGCTCAACAAATGTTCGCAAAGCCAGGAGTGACGCCTCGAAAGGTTGTGTTGAGTGTTTGGTGGGATTCGAAATTTATCATTAACTATGAGTTGCTCCAGCCCGGTGGAACGATTGATTCTACATTTGCCTGTCAACGACGTGCGACTGAAGCAAACAAAAAAAAAAAAAAAAAAAAAAAAAAAAAAAAAAAAAAAAAAAAAAAAAAAAAAAAAAANNAAAAAAAAAAAAACAAAAAAAAAAAAAGACTGCCAGAACAGATCAACAGAAGCGGCTCCGTTTTACATCAGGACAACGGTGATGTTTTGAAGCATCCACCTTTACCAAGCGCAATCGCACTATCATTTGTTTCGGTCAATGCAGAACTCCTTTAATGGAATAAAGTTGGCTTCAAGAAAAGCCCGTGAAAATTACTTATTGCAGTTTTTCGCCGAGAATTCTCCAATGCAAACTTCAAGACCCATACAATATACTGGTATGGCAGATTGAACAATACAAACAGCTCTAAGGATGATATTTTACAACCCTCTTTCTATACCACCGAAGTCACAAATGCAGCAAGGATTTTTTGTCCACAATTTGGATTCGCTCTCACAGACACATTTTCAGCTACGAAAAGGCAGGCGAGTTAGTAAAGCTAGCAATCTCCTTAATACCATGTCCGCTAGGAATGAACAAGAGATAGCAATAATGCTTTTGGACAAATAGCTAAGCTACATAGCTAAGAGCAGATGGAAATCAATAACAAGCTGCAAGATAACGAAGCATGTATGACAGGAATAGAACACATAAAATATTATATTAGAGTTACTTGCAACTCACTATATAAATTAAATTACGAATATTTCTTAGTTTCATATTTTGTGAGTTGATTCAAGATACATATATCCGGCGTAGCCCTAACCACTATGAGATTTATGAGAATTATAGTTGCTTATTTAGTACCCGATACGATTTGAGTATATTGCTGTGCGCTACATGTAAATGCTGAAATCCGAACACAGAAGGAAGTGAAGGCAGCATATAGAAATGTCTTTGTCCGCACACAGCGAAATTACTTTACATAGCAAAATGCTGCAGTTGCGCTAAATTATTAGTTTATGTTAAGCATTTTTTCTTTCTATTGTATTATGTGCCAAGGTGAATGCGAAACCGCAGACAGATAAAAGTAATAAGTTTGTGCACAAACACAAAGCCCACTTTATACACATATGTACATATGTGTGTGTGGTTGCAAGTGCTGTCGGGCCGCAATTGTTTGGGGTACTTGTGCAAGCTGAAGCTGAGGCTTCATAAGCCTGCCACTGCGAGTGCTTTGGCTAAGACTTGGGTATAAAGCGCACACACGCTCGCATTTAAGCGAAAGCCTGAGGCAAATACCGCGGGGCATACTTTCGGTTTGTTCGCTTCTTTACACGTATTTATTTGCGCTTCGTTTTCGCTGCAACCTATTGTGTTGTGCCGACGAAATTTAAAGATAACAATAAAATGTGGTTATTCCTTTGTTGGTGGCGGTTTGTGCATGCTTTGGCTGTTGTAGCGTTGCCACAGTTTTCCGTCGGCGCGCAGTATAATTCGCGGCAATGCTGTTTTGCGCCGGCAGCATGCATTTACAGAGAGACAATTATGTTGTTGGCGGCCACAATATATTTAATTACACATCTACGTGCAGTTTCGTGTTGTTGCTTATTTCTTTTGTGCCTTGTTCTTTCCTTTTGGGCACTTCCTGCACTCATTGTTTTAAATGCATTTTGTTCTCGCGCCTTTGCTTTCGCAGTTTAAATTATTTCGTTCGCTTATCTACTACGCAGTTGGTGTTTGGCGAATTACGTGCGACTAGCGCAATTACAACAAGTTGTGGAGAGATTTTACCTTGAAATTAATAACAGAGTTCCGTTATGCAATTTTTTATAAAATGTTATGCATGTAAATTGCATTAGTATGTGTGCATATGAAATTGCATAGAGTGTTGAATGTGATTTCAAGGGAAAATGTTTTTCAATGTACTTTCTGGTAAACAATCTCCAGCTCTTTTGTAGGCGTAGACATTAAATATTAAAAAAAAAGTTTAAACGATTTGGCAGCCTTGTTTTTTCTTAGTGTATTTTCAATGCGAAGAAATGGAATGATTTTTATTTTTGTTGAACCCCTAAAAGTAGGCAACTTACCGCTCTATCGCCTAAATTGCGCACGCGACAATGCAAGAGCGCTGCTTGGCCCACTGTCGCTGTCACTTCACGTCTCGACGAGTTGTCAAAGTAGGGCTGAGAATAAGGTGTTTCCCAATAGTGAGGCGGCACATCCCCACATATTGTTTTGGTCTCTGAAAACAAAGAAATGAAATTTTGAAATTACAAATATTGCTGAAAAAAAGCAAAACACAGTATGAAATTGAAAGTGAAGTGCAGTTGCAGTTTATTTTTTGATACAATCTATACTATACGTCAATACAAAGCATTAATAATGATTAAACTTAAATTAAAATTAATGAATTTTTTTTTCATATGTATGGAATATATAAAATATTCACAAAAAAAAAAAAAAAAAAAAAAAATTTCATCACGAATACATATAATTCATGCGCAATATCCTATTTTATTAATAACAATCCGCTTTGAAAGCATAAAGCCGATTGACTTTTTGATGACCGGCTTGTCAATGATGACCGCAGCCCGCGGTGTACATAAGTAATCCGTGTGAGGTCTTTAATATAAATCATGATTTAACTTTTCAGCCCGATTGCGTTTATTAATACTCATTCTGCTATTTATATATGTATGTGGCAAATGTTTGCCTGCCAAATTCGTATATCGAACAGCTGATCAGCCGAGAGTAATTTTCATACACACGACGTCCTTTTTCAAGTCAACCGCAAATGGCTTACAGAAAAACAAACAAATATATCTGCGTACAATTGCAACCACAACTCTTGCGCTTTTATTATATTCACATCAAGAGCCGACATCCGACCAAGGCTACATTTAAAGGCGGCTTGAAGCATATGTGTACTGACGCACAACACGCAGCCAAAAAGTAGGAAAGTTTCGGTTGAATGCGAAAAAGTAAAAACAAATTTGAGAATAAAAATAGTAAACAAAAGCACAAAACAAAATTGAGTCCAAAAGCTTGTATTTCTTTCGGAGAACACACTGAAACGCCACACTGACAGCTTTTGGCTAAAAGGTTGTTGGAATAATCCTAGAGTGGTGGCTGAGAATAATATGAAGCAGGTGTTTGTTTTTATTATTGACATATATATGAATGAATGTACTTCTCATAACTTTAACTCTTAACCAAAAACAGAAGCATGATTTAGTGCTTTCTTGGGCACTTCTTGGTATTTTGCGGAGGCTTGAGTAAATGTTTTGCTGAATACAAATATTATAATTCATTCTGATTGATCATTATTGTTACCAAGTAAATGAGAATAATTCGAACCTTTGCGGATAAAGCTGAGGAGATTCGAATAAGGGAGATCTAATTTCGTGTATAATCGAACATTCATTTTCTTACAACTTGCATACATACAGGTACATAAGACTTGTTAATTATATGGAGTATAGAGCGAGCCTTCACACGATTTTATTCTTTCTGAGCACAAAAATGCACCTTTATTATAAAAACAAGCTCCCTCATGTTTATTAAGATAACTCACATATTGGGCAATATATGCGGTATAAAGTCAGCCGGAAGTTCTGAAAATCTTTATATATGGTTGTCAAAAAGTCTTGCGGTATTTTTATTGAATTTTCAATTGTTCATAAAAATTGCTTTTTTTTTTTTTTTGATGACTCATGCCCAGCTCTTGACCGATGCTACGGCTGCTACTATGCCGGTCTCTTTCGACCAATTCAGCGATTTTATCGCAATTT